AGAAAATAAAGGAAAATTAAATTTATGATTTGTTTTTTTTTTAAGACTTAAAAAACAAAACGTTTGAAAGAAATTATCCAAATTCGAAATTCAATTTTCTTTCCATCCGAGTGGAAAAAAAGGGTAAAAATAGAGAGAGAGAGAGAGAGAGAAGGAAAGTAAAGAAAAGAAAAAAAAATTTTGTCTTTTTTCCCCTGTTTGATTTTAAACACCTGTTGAAAAGAAAATTTCATTCGTTTAGGATATTTGCCCATTTTTTTTGATTCGGAAAATCGATATAAAATAAAATATATGATTTTTTTTTTATGAATCGGTATGATCGATCGACTTTTATAAATATCGTTTGAAATTTTATAAATAATAATAATAATAATAATAATGCGAAAAGGAAAAACCGTGGAGGTAGAAATAAATTTTCTTTTTCCGTCGCATGTATATATATAAATAAAATAAAAGAAGAGGAAAAGTTACCCGTGGAACGTCGAAGGGGGGGGGGGGAGAAGCGAGTATCACAGAAAGAAAATCGATTATGTAAAAAAAAAAAAAAAAAAAAGTGAAAAAAAGGGGGCCTAAGAACGAACATCAGAGTCGGTTCACCCGCAGGTAAAAGCAAAAGAAAATCGATTTTGCTCGTGAAATATCTGGCCGGGGGTTGGCTGGCAGCTGCATGCAAACGCAAGACCTGCCTGCTGCCATTTTATTATTATCCTTTCTTTTCCCAGATGAAAATTCCAAAGGGTACTTGCTAGTCATTGACCTATTTATATAACCGTAGAAAAAAAAAAAAAAAGGACAAATCAAAGGTAGAAGGAAGGGAACGAGAGAGGATTGGAGATGGGGAAGTAGAAGGGGGAGGGGGGAGGGCCGCAGCAAGGAAAAATAAATACCACATTTATATTACTCGACTTGGAAATTTTTTTTTATTTTCTTCCGGACGTTAAAAGTGTATGTATTCGCTACCACCACTACTACTACTACCACCACCGCCACCACCACCACTACCACGTCAATTATTCATTCAATTTTATTTTATTTTTTTTTCCTTCTCCTTCTTCTTCTTCTTCGTTTATTTTTTTTTTTTTTTTATTAATGGAAATTTTATTATTATTATCATCATCGTTATTTTTACGGGTGGGGTGGGGGGGAGAAAAAAATGTGAAATTTTAAAAAAATTGTGCTTTTTTATTATTTTTTTTTTATTTTTTATACCGAAGTAGGAAAAGGTTCTTGAAAATCTCTACTGCCTTTTTCTTTCTTTTTATTTTTTTCCTTTTTTTTTTTTATCATCCATTTTCTGAACAATTGTTAATATAAGGAAAGAGAAGGAGAGAGAGAGAAATATAAAAAAATTTTATTTCATTATTATTATTATTATTATAGCTACGTTCTTTTCATTGGTTGAATTTCCTGGTTTTTCTCTAATCAAAAACTTATTTGCGGTTATCTCGAGAGACAAGTTTAATTCTTTTCTTTCTCTCTCTCTTTCTCTCATCTCACCTTTTTACCTTTTTCTTTCCCTTTTCATTTTCGTTGAAAATATAAAATCAAATTTAAAACCGATATAATAAAACGAAATGTGTTATTTTTTTTTTCTTTTGTTTTTATCCATAAAAGTTTTTGAAATTGAGAGTGAAAAAAAAAAAAAAAAAAAATTTTTTTTTTTTGTTTAAAACGAGATAAAATTTTTGGAAAGTTTTGTTAAAAAAAAAGAGGATAAAAAGAGAGAAAAAGAGGAGAAAAAGAAGAGCACAAGAGTATCATGAATGCTTCGAAGCGTGCAAGGGGAAAAAGAAAAAAAAGAAAAAAACAATTTAACAAAAAGTAAAAAAGTGGCATTTTCATTTCATGCTTTTTTGCAAATAATATTTTTCTCTCTCTCTCTCTCTCTCACGCTGACCTCCGACCTTTTTCCCTTTTTCTTTCCTTTATTTTTTTTAATTAAAAAAGTTCAAAAGGTTCTAGTAGTAATAGTAGTACTAGTTTCCTGTTTCGCTTTTTTTTTTTTGCCTATTTCTCAAAAAGGATGATTTTAATTCGTCAATTATTAAATATTTAACGTAAAAAAAAGTTTTTTCCCTAGTTATTTATTATTTATTTAAAAAAAAAAATAAAAAAAGTTAAATTAAATATACTCTTGGGGGTGGTGGTGGTGCTGGTGGGAGTGGTGGGGGCGGGAGAGAGTTAAAGGTAAGAGGGGGGATGGGGAAAATAAAATAAAAAAAAAAAAAATTTTTTTCCTTCTAAAAGTCGTAATCGAAACGTGGAAAACTTTATAAAATTAACTTTTTTTTCCGTTTCTACTTATTTATTATCATTATTATTATTATCATTATTATTATTTTCATTATTATCATCATTATTATTTTATTTGCGAAAGCATATTGAAAATGATGAAACTCTTATTGAAAAACGTGAAAAAGAAAATTTTTTTTAAAAAGAAAATAAATCATTTTGTACACAACGTTAATGTTTTTTTCGAGGCTTAAGTTTTTCAATTTAAACCCGCCACCAACCGCCGTCCGCCATCCGCCACCTGCCGGCCCGCCGACTCTTATTTAAAAAATTTTTTTCACAAAAAAAAGAAAAGTCGTTGGTGGTGCCTCAAGGAATTAAAAAGGAAAATTTTTCAAAAGACATACACACATGGGAAACACGAGAAATTAAAGTGACTCCGAGGGAAACGGATTATTATTATTATTAATATTTATTTACTTGATGTTACGTATAGCGGAAGTTTAACATTTTGTAAAAGGAGGAGATTTTTTATGCGTAGTAGTAATAATAATAATAATAATAATAAAGGAAAAGTTTCGTGTTTGATTTTAAAATTACATAAACGATTTATTTCTTTCAATGGTGTGCGTGTGCGTGAGGATGTGCGTAATGAAGAGAGAAAAAGCTAATGGAAATTTCTTTTCTTTTCTTTTCTTTTCTTTTCTTTTTTTTTGGGCTTTTCAAATTTTCCTTTTTTTTTTTTTTATCTTGTGACAATTTTTCTTTATCTTTTCATTTTTTTTTTCATTTTCTAAAAAATGACATGGTCGATTGCTCGGTTGGTTGGTTGCGATGATGACGAAATAAAAAAAATTTTTTTTTTTCTTTTATTTAAAAAAAAAAAAAAAAAAAAAAAAAAAAAGGGAAAAATCGTTTTATTGTTTTGAAATTGCATATTTTTTTTTTTTTTTTATTCTTTTTTAAGTTAAAATTTATGCGTCGAATATTGGAAAAAAAATATTTTATGTCGCCGCCCCCCTCGTCAAAGGTTTAAAAAAAAAAATCTTTTCTTCTTTTTCCCCCCCCCCTTCCCCCTTTTTTTTCCCCCCTTTTTCCTTCTTTTTTTCCCCCCTTTTTCCCCCCCCTCTTCCCCCCCCCCCTCTTCCTCTTCTTTTTCCTCCCCCTTTTCCTCTTCCCCCCCCTTTTTTTTTTTTCACCTGTTTTATATTAAAAATGAAAATTTGATCGGTTCATTTGTTCTTGTATTATTATTATTATTATTATTATTATTATTATTATTATCGGAACCTCATATAAATTTTAAAATAATAATAATAATAATAATAATAATAATAAATGGAAATGTTTAAAAAAAAAATATTCTGAAACCGTCTTTTTTTTTTTTTAATTGAAATTTAAAATTTTATTATAATAATAATAATAATTATTATTATTACTTAACAAAACGTCAGAAAATATAAAATTTTTTTTAATTTGTTGAGTGTGCGAAAAGATTGTTGTAAATAAATTTACCCGACCGTTATTAATTATTATTATTATTATTATTATTATTTTTTATTTAACTTTTTTTCACGAGGAGGTAAATTGAAAAAAAAAATTTTTTTTTTTTCCTCTTTTTTTTTTCTTCATTATTATTTTTTTTATTTTTTTTTGTTTTTTATTAAAAAAAAGGAAAATAATAATAATAATTATAATTATAATTATAATTATAATAAACAAAACTTAAACTCGCAAGACGAAATGTAAGAGAGAGAGGGAGAGGGAGAAAAAAAGAAATAAAAAAAAAAGTTTTTCCTTTTTTTTTTTTTTAATTGCCTCGTTAAATTTATTATTTTTATTTTATTTTTTTTTTTTTGTCTTCCGCTTTTCTTTTGTTAAATGTAGTAATTTCAACTGCGAATTAAATTAATATGTCTTCAATCAAAAGAAAGAAAATTAATGTCGGTAATTAATGTATATAATACGACAGTTACACGTGAGTTTTTTTTTTTTCCTCCATTTTCTCTGTTTCATCTGGAGAAAGAAAAAAAAAAATTATGAAGTTTTAAGAAGGTACATAAAAAAAAAAAATAAAAAAAAAAAGTTTTTAAAACCTGGAATTAACTTTTTTCATTAAAAAAAGAAAAGAAAAGAAAACTTCTCATCGAAGAATTAAACTTTTCTTCCTTTTTTTTTCTACGGGCATTGTCACGTGACGTGTCTAAATTTTTGAAATGTGTCGGGGGGAAAAAAAAAAAAAAAAAAAACTAAAAAATTTTTTTTAATTTTTCCATTGCCATCATCGAATAATTTGTCCGTGACCCTGATCATATCTGGAAAATATCAAAATAATCCTTTTGTATTATTATTATTATTATTAATTATCATCATCATCATTATGATCGGATTAATGATGTTGAAAATTTGAAAAGATAAAAAAAAAGTAGGTTCGGTGAAGCCTGAAGCTGTGGTGTTAAGTAGTCAATTAATTTAGGTTTTGGTTTTTTTTTTTTAATTAAAATTTTTTTGTAAAATGGCGGGAAAATTCCTCAAAGGAAAAAATTTTCATTTTTTAAAGAAAATAAAAAGAATAACATTTTCCTTTTTCGTGATATTTTAATAAAAAGGGGAGAAGGAAGAAGGAAAAAAAAAGGAAAATTTTATTAGTTTTGCGGAGAAACTGAAAAAAAATTTATTATTATTATTATTATTTTTCCTTACGATGTTGCATTTATTTCATCGAAGCGAAAAAAGTAATGATAATAATAATAATAGTAATGAAATTGATGAATTTTGAAAAGAAGTAAAAAAGAGAGAAAGAGAAGATAAATGAAAATTTTTCGGTTTGTTTTGTTTTCAGATGCTGTTGCGGGTTGTCCCTCACGCATCACAGGGGAACCGGAGCCAAAATTCAACCCCCCTACGAATCCCAATGGATATCGTCCCGGCACACGATATCAGTACCTACGGATGCTTACGGAACATTAGAATTTCAAGGTGGTCCTCATCCAAGCAAAGCTCAGGTATCTTTCTTTTTTTTTTTTCCTCCTTCGAATAAAATCCAAACGAAATGTACAATGACGAAGATGTACATGTTTATATTTTCAGTACGTACGACTTTCTTACGATACAAGACCGGAATTAATATTACAATTATTCACAAGAGAATGGAGTTTGGAAACTCCGAAATTACTCATAACCGTTCAGGGAGGAAAAGCAAATTTCGATCTTCAACCCAAATTGAAAAAAATTCTCAGGAAAGGACTTTTGAAAGCCGCCAAAACGACCGGAGCCTGGATTTTCACCGGTGGAACGAATACAGGTTTCCGTCTTTACATTATTTTTATTATTTAATAAAAAAAACCTTGATTCTCTTTCTCTCTCTCTCTGTCTTTCTGTCTCTCTTTTTTTTCGTAAAAAGTTAAATGAGTTTTTCAACGCTTGTTAAATATTTGAATTGAAAAGGGTAAAATAAAAAAGGAAGAAAAATGGAGGAGGAAAAAAAAAAAAATTTGAAACTTTAACTTTTACAACCGCTGGATAAAAACTTATATTCTCCATACATATTATAATAAACTTTTATCATTATGAATTTTGGGGTTTTTTTTCGGGGGGGGGGGAGGTAGTTACAAATTTTCATAAAAAAGTCTAATAATTTTCAAAATCTTTTTTTTTTTGTTTTAAACGAATTATTTTATCTAAAATTATATTTACGAATCTTTTATTATTATTATTATTATTATTATTTAGGGTTTGATAATATGTACGAACGATAATAATAATAATAATGATGAGATTTTTTTATTATCTGCTTTTGTTTTTCGGTCCTTTTTTTCTTTTTAACAGCCTTTGTTGTTTCATAATCATTTAATTCATTCGTGTTGAAATTTATTATTATTATTTTTATTATTATTATGAGGTTTTGAATGAAAAGAACAAAGAAAAAAAAAGTAGAAGAGAGAGAGAGAAAGGAAAAAAAAAAAGTTTTAGGTTTTTCATAGGGGAAAAAAAACAAAAAAAAAAAAAATTTAAGTTTTCCAAATTTTTTTTTCTTTTTTCGTTTCTTCTCCCTCTCTCCCTTCCTCCCTCCTTTCTCCTCCTCCTCCTTCTCTCTCTTTCCCCTTCCGTCGAAAAAGGAATTTGTCATTGTGTCATAAATGAAGAGAAAAGAGAGAGAAAGAGAAAAAGTTTTTATAATTAATTTACAAGAAAGACATCAAGACAAATTATTATTATTATTCTTATTGTTATTATTATTATTACTATTATTATTATTATTAATGTCATATTTAATTGTATTTTATGTTTTTTTTTTTTTTTATAAGGAGTTACTAGGCAAGTCGGTGATGCGTTACTATTAGAAAGATCTCAAAGAAGTAGCAGAATAGTCACAATCGGAATCGCACCCTGGGGAATCGTTGAAAATAATTATGAATTAATTGGACGAAATCGCGACGTACCTTATCACTCCATATCATCGCCCAGGTAAAATTTATTATTATTATTATCATCATCATCATCATCATCATCATTATTAATTATTAATAAAAAAAAAATATATGTACATATACCGGCGTTTAAATTGGATTTTTTTTTTCCTTTGTCAAAAAAAGGGAATTTTTAAATAAGTCCAACGTGAATAAATTAAGTGTGTAGGTTAATAAAAAAAAAAAATTAATAAAGTGAGAGGGGGGATGAGCGAGATAATAGTGGAAAAGTGAAGAGAAAATAGGGGGAAGGGGGAGAAAGAAAAAAAAAAAAAAAGAAAATTTAACGATTAATTGTCAGACATTTTTTTTTTTTTGTGTGTGTGACTTTGTTATATATATAATAAATATTATTTTATCGAGTCATTTTTTTTTTTTTTTTTTATCCTCTGGGGCTTTTTGCGACCTTTTCAATGGATTAAAAACATTAATTCTTAATTAATTAGCACACACGCACACGCACACGCACAAACGCAGGGTTCGGACGTACATATTGTTGTTTGTCTTTATTCTTCTCATTTATAATTTTATAATTTTTTTTTTTTTGGAGATGAAAAGTTTTTTTTTTATTCCCTGCGGTTTTCCCTTGCCCTTTTCTTTTCTTTTCTCCCCTCCCCTCCCCCTTTTTTTGTTTTTTTTTTTTGTCATGAAAAAGCATAAAGAGTTGTTTTTTTTTGTTACTCTTTTGAACTCGTTTAATTATTTATTTATCGTTTTAATTTTTGTTTTTTTTTTAAGGTCTAAACTCGCTGCCCTTAATAATAAACACGCATATTTTTTATTGGTCGATAATGGAACGGAAGGAAGGTACGGAGCTGAGATAATACTCAGAAGGAAATTAGAAAAATACATATCCATTCAAAAACTTCATCCTTGTACGTTTTTTCTCTCTCTCTCTCTCAAGGTAGAATTAAAAAAAGTTTCATAACTTTGTCATGTTTATTTATTTTTTTTAAGGCACGCATTGCAGCACTCCGGTTGTTTGTTTGGTCATAGAAGGCGGTACGAACACAATAAGAGCAGTTTTGGAATATGTGACCGATGATCCTCCGGTACCTGTCGTTGTATGCGACGGTTCCGGTAGAGCTGCCGACCTCTTAGCTTTTGTACATAAGTAAATTTTTTATTATTTTGATTCAATGAAATTTTTTCCTTGAAAATTCATCAAACATCATCGATGGAAATAAATAATTTTTTTTAGGTACGCGTCCGAAAGCGGAGAACAAACAGTTTTAGAAAACATGAAAGATTATCTTATAGGAACGATACAGAGAACGTTCGAAGTTGGTAGCGAACAATCCGAATGTTTATATTCGGAACTCCTTCAATGCACTCGTAAAAAAAATCTTGTAAATGACAAAATAAATTTTTAATTGTTTTCTTTTTTTTTTTTTGTTTTAAATCGTTCATCGGACGAAATAAATGATGATAATAATAAATTTTTTTTTAGATAACTGTTTTTCGCATAACGGATCGTCCAGAGTGTAAAACACAAGAATTGGATCAAACAATATTAACGGCTTTATTCAAATCTCAACATTTATCACCCAGCGAACAGTTAAGTTTGGCTTTGACGTGGAACAGAGTCGACATTGCCAGATCGGAAATATTTGTATACGGTCAAGAATGGCCTCCCGGAGCACTGGACGAAGCCATGATGCAAGCATTGGAACATGATAGAATCGATTTTGTTAAATTGCTTTTAGAAAATGGAGTGAGCATGAAAAAATTTTTGACAATACCGAGACTCGAAGAACTTTATAATACGGTAAGTTTTCGAAAAAAAAGTTTTTTAACTCACATGAAAACGTAAAAGTAAAAAAAAAAATTTTCTTTTTAGAAACAAGGACCAACAAACACATTAGGATACATATTAAGAGACGTGAGACCGCATATACCTCGTGGTTACGTTTATACCTTACACGATATCGGTTTAGTTATAAATAAATTAATGGGAGGTGCTTACAGGTATGATTATGGAAAAGAAAAAAATAAAATAAAATTTTTAACCGGAAATACTATAATTTATTTATTTATTTTTTATTTTTTGCGGAAAATTAGATCGTATTACACGAGGAGAAAATTTCGATTGATTTATGCAAAAGTAATGAAAAAATCTCCTCACGTTCATCGCAACAGCGCATCTTTTATTCGTTACTACGGAAATCAAAATTTAACACTTAGTCTATTAGCTGAAGCATTGCCAGCTACCAGCGACACTCCACTTTTTGATTATCCTTTCAATGAATTAATGGTAGGGATTTTGTTTTTGACGACGATATGTTTGACGATATTTTAAATTTATTGTCTTTTTATTGTCAGATTTGGGCCGTACTTACTAAAAGACAGCAAATGGCTTTGCTTATGTGGCAACACGGAGAAGAAGCCCTTGCCAAGTCATTGATTTCTTGTAAATTGTATAAAGCGATGGCACACGAAGCCGCAGAAGATGATTTAGAAACCGAGGTCTACGAAGAATTGAGAAACTACGGAAAAGAATTTGAAAATATCGGTTCGTGGTTTTATTTATAATTAATAACAACTCCTCTTTGTAAAAAAATTACCCACGTGTAAAATTTAATTAACGAGATTTTTCAACGGTTTTTTGACGCGTTGCTGAATTAATGATGATTTTGACAAAAAATATAAAGTGAATTCGGGCTCAGCCGGGATTTGAACCCGGGACCTCCTGCACCCAAAGCAGGAATCATACCCCTAGACCACTGAGCCGTTGTGGTAGAAAATTTCTCGTTTCCATAACTCATGATTTTTAATTAATTAATTAACGCGTTGAGGCGTTGAGATTAATAATTTTTCTTATTTTTAATTGAAAATTTTTCGATTTTCAGCTCTGGAACTTTTGGATTTTTGCTACCGACAAGACGATGATCAAGCTCAACAATTATTAACTTGCGAATTACAAAATTGGAGCGGGCAAACGTGCCTAAGTCTGGCTGTTGCTGCCAATCACAGAGCTTTGCTTGCACATCCTTGCAGTCAAATAATATTAGCCGATTTATGGATGGGAGGATTGAGAACGAGAAAAAACACAAATTTAAAAGTATTCCATTCTTTTTTCTTTTTCTTTTTGTACTTTCATCATTGAAAAACATATAAATAATGATTTAATTAAAAATTTTCTCAGGTCATACTCGGGCTATTGTGTCCTCCGTACATTTGTCAATTGGAATTTAAATCAAAGGAAGAACTTCAATCCATGCCGCAAACGGAAGAAGAACATTTGACGGGGTTGGAAGAAGAAAACGAAAGCGTCGACGGGGAAATGAAATTCAATCAAACTCATCGTAACACGGATCCGGAAACTGAGGTAACACAAACTTTTCTTCAAATCAATTTAATTTTTCAAAAAAATAGAGAATAATTTAATTTATTATATTTAGCTTAGGAAATAAATTATAATTTTATTTAAGAATTAAATTTTTTAGAATTGTAAATGAATTTAAAAAAAAAAAAAAAAAAAAAGAAACATATACATTTAGCTATTTAGCACTGCTTTTGCTATATAATAAAAATGCTTTTTCATTAAATTAGTATCATTTTTACGTCATGATTACAATTTGTAGTTAGTTTTCGTTAGTTTTGTAGTCAATTTAACTATAAAAAAAAAAAAAAAAAAAAAGAGGGGAGGATTAGATTTGTATCGGATCACAAAGTGACTAACATAATTATTTTTCCAACCAAAAAAAAATTATTATTATTTTCTAACGAAAGCTTAGCTTTTTACTTTAACATGAAAAGAAGCAAGCTTTTGAATTTAATAAAAATCATTTTTTTAAGCTTTTTTTAAACCCACCAAAAAAATTTTATTTTATTACTTTTATTCATATTTCGACTTGTGTATTATTAACAAAAAAAAAAAAATAGGGTTAATAAATATTTATGTGTGTAGTAGCCTTAATGGGTTTTATTCATTTATTTATTTATTTACTTTGTTTTTTATAAATTTTGTGTTGTTATCATTAATGATATTTCGATCTCTGATGGTTTTTCAAAAGGTTTTTCTTTCTTTTTTCTTTTTTTTTTTTTTTTTCTTATAATTATTTTATTTTAGAAGGGAACGAGATCGATGAGTGTCAGGAGTAAATCATCGGCTAAGGAAAACGATCAGGTAAATTTTTAATTTAACAAAAAAAAATTTTTTCCTGTGGTCGGGGATTCCCCCCCAAAAAAGTAATAATGATAATGGATAAATTGCTTTTTGTATTTTTTTTTTATTTTCGGTGTGGTTTTTCTTTCGATTTTTTTTTTTATATTTAATTTAAACAAAATTAAATAATGAGGGAAAAGAACATTCGAGAAGGTTAATAATAATTGAATTAATAAAAAAAATTTAGAGGAAAAGAACAATTTGTTTATTTTTATTTTTTTTTTACAGTTTAAACGACGTTTAAATTATTCATTATCACTGGACGAATCCGCATTAATGAAAAATAATTTTAGAGTAAATATTTTGCAAAAAAAAAAAAAAAATCAAAAATAATAATAATAATAATAATATTTATTAGTAAAATGTTGATTTTGCTTAATGAATTACACACGTCACTACTAACACTTTAACTAATGTTTGACTTATCACAAACACATTTCTTATCATTATTGATCGTGTTGACAAAAAAAAAAAAAAAAAAATCTAACATGATTTAATATCGGGTTAATGGTGGCTAATATCATTAAAAACCCCCAAAAAAAAAATTTTCCGCCCCCCTTCCCCCGTGTTTTGTGTGTTTGCTTTGCTTATGTAAAAACGCCGCAGCTAAATCATAATCATATAATCATAAAACAATAATAATCAATCAATAAATTGATTAGCTTGAATTTTTTTTTTTTTTTGCGTGATTTTTTATTGGTGTAAATTAATTGTTTTTTTTTTTTTTATTTAAATAAATCACTTACGCATCATTTTTTTTTTTTTTTTAATATATTTAAAGCGAATTAATTTTATAAAAATATTAATAATGATAATAATTGTAATGAATTACACAGAAAAAACAAAATGTCTTCTTGGTATTGCACGTTTGGTTTTTTTTTAATAATTAAATTAGAAAATGTGTTGAATTTTACGGATGGAAGAGATATAAAAAAATTAATTATAATAATAATAATGATGATGATTATTATGTTAACAATTAATATTTCAGGCACTTTTTGCGCAGGATTTCGGAGTTAAAGACACGATAATACAAGAAAATGGAAAAGTTATAACGGAAGATGATACGGAAATAGGGAATTCATTTCATCATATCCCGTTGGATTTTCACGATGTTAAAGCGGCTCGACCCCTCAGATTGAAAAAAAAATTTTATGAATTTTATACGGCGCCGATAACGAAATTTTGGGCTCATTCGGTGATTGATTAGCATTCTCGTGTTTTCTCTCTCTCTCTCTCTCTCTTTTGTAATGCTAATCCCTTAAATTTTTTGTTTCAGTTGGCTTACATGGTATTTTTAATGTTCTTCAGCTACGTCGTTCTCGTGAAAATGGAAAATATGCCGTCTTGGCAAGAGTATTACATAATAACGTATATTTGCACTTTGGGATTTGAAAAAATTCGGGAAATCGTTTCATCGGAACCCGTGGCCATCAGGTGAATTTTCTTTTTTTTTTGCATTTAAAAAAAAGAAAATAAAAGAAAAATGTTGATTTTTTTTACAGTCACAAATTTGCCGTTTGGACTTGGAACATGTGGAATCCCTGCGATTCTGCGGCCATTATTTTTTTTCTCATTGGTTTGGCTCTCCGGTTGAAACCGTCATCCATGGCCATCGGAAGAGTTATTTTTTGCGTAAATATCGTTTATTGGTACCTGAGAATTCTAAACATTTTAGGCGTGAATAAATATTTGGGTAAATAATAATCATTATTATTAATGTCTATATCGTTTTCGTTGTGATTTACACGCCGAAATTAAAAATTTAATATAAATCTAAAATTATTATAATATTTAATATAAATTTAAAATTTACATTTATTTCATAGGTCCACTCGTGACGATGATGGGTAAAATGGTTAAAAACATGATTTATTTTGTTGTTTTACTTTTGGTCGTCCTCATGAGTTTCGGCGTTTGTCGTCAATCAATATTAAATCCGAATCGTGAAGCCAGTTGGACTTCCGTCAAAGAAGTTTTTTATCAACCGTATTTTATGCTTTACGGAGAAGTAAAAAACTTTTCTTTTTTTTGTCACCGTTTTATTCGTTTCTATCGGCATTTAATTAAAATAATTTTAATGTGACGTCAGGTATTTGCGGGTGACATTGATCCTCCCTGCGGGGAACATCCGACGGATTCCCCATGTCCCACGGGAAGATGGGTTACGCCGGTCGTCATGTCCATATATCTTTTGGTGGCAAATATTCTTTTGATCAATTTACTCATAGCAGTGTTCAATAATATTTTCATAGAAGTAAACGCCGTTTCGCATCAGGTAAATTTAAAACTCAAATTTCAAAACTTTTCTTTTATGATTGAAAAAAAAATTTTTTAAAAATGAAAACAGGTTTGGATGTTTCAAAGATTCACCGTCGTTATGGAATACGAACAAAAACCGGGGATCCCTCCTCCCCTCATAATAATCAGTCATTTGTTTTTACTTTTCAAATTTGTACGTAGAAAATTAAAAGGAATCGAAGAAACTTATGATAACGCGTTAAAATTATTTCTCGATAATGATGATTTGGAAAGGTTATACGATTTCGAAGAAGAATGCGTCGAGGGTTATTTTAGGTAAAATTTAAAAATTTTCAAACTATGGAAAGAAAAAAAAAATTTTTTTACTAAAATTTAAATAATTTTTTTTTTTTTTTCTGAAACAGAGAAAAAGATTTGAAATTGCTTCAGTCGAGCGATGAGAGAATAAAAACAACGACGGAAAAAGTCGAAAACATGTATCAAAAGGTTGAGGATATAAATCAAAAGGAAAATGCTCAAACGACGTCGATTCAAAGCGTCGAATTCAGATTGAGAAAAGTTGAAGATGTCGCCGAGCAAATTTTAAATCATTTAGACGTCGTTCATAGATTTATGGCCACGCACACGAGGGATACGGCATTTCCAGATTTTCCCGAAGTTAACATTGTCGCAGATAGAACGAGAACGGCTTCCGAACGATCGGAAGATGTAAAAGTGATGGCCGCACCTGATAGCGAATTTGCAGAAAGACTCTTGTCAGTCAATACAAGACGAAGACCGACGAGGCAAGTTTAAAAAAGAAAAAAAAAGAAATTTTTGCATATCCTTTACAAATTTTAATTTTTTTTCTTTTTCTTCTTCTTACATCTTTGAAATTCAGGTCATTAACTGAAGTCAGACCCACTGATAGGTTGTGTCTATCTGCTGAACGTATTTACGTAGATCCAAAAAGACATGAAATCCCTTTGGAAAATTCAAATAATTCAAATCAGAAAGGCGAAGACGAAGTGGAATATCCGGGAGATGAAAAATCATTTATTGATCGCAGGTACCATTTCAAAAAAAAAAAAAAAAAAAAAGAAAAAAAATTGTCTTTCAGGTTTTGATTGATGAGTTTTTCTTTTTTATCAGATTATCCGAAAGTAGCGCTGCTGAAAAGCACGAAGATGTTTCCGTTTGCCGTGAGAGTACAAAAGGAAGCCACGTGGAAGTTAATCGTCCTCAAGAAACTCAAGTAAATTTTTAGAAAACCTCCTTTTTTTTTTACTTTCGAGAGTAAAAAAATTTTACAATTTTTCTTCTTTTTCCCCTTAGGAAATCGAAAGACCTTTGTCATCTGCAGATGGATCGGTGGGACTACGTAAAAGACGGGGGAGTTCAACAGAAGAAAAATCCGACAGAGGAAGTGTTTTACCTCTTTGTCATTTATCTACGAGGCGTCAATTAAGTCAAACGCATTCGGAACCGGATGTGGATTTTCTGGGTCTTGGAAGTTCCGTACCTAGAGCTGTGACGGTCGAGCGTAGCGTTACTTGGGCAGAACCTAGAATCACGGTGATTCCTCCGACGGCATCCACGGCGCGCTCCATGCTCCTAGCGATGCATTCTGAATATACCAGGTACCTAAAATTCATTTTATTTTGTGTCATCAAATTTTTTTTTTATTTGTCATTCTGTCGCAGTATTACTGATGAGCTTGAAACTGTTTGCGGGTTGTTATCACCTCCAAGAACTCCCAGTCTTCTCACTCCGACGACTAAAAAAGATACCGTTCATCCGAAGAGAACTCGTCACACGAGCGAAATGTCCAATCCCGAAATGGCAATTTACATAGAGAAAGAACATTTACGAGATGCCGAAGAAAGTGATTATCAATTGATGCAAGATTTAATAGATAAAAGATTTTACATCGGGGAAAATTCTGAAATTGATGAAAGGTTCGATAATAATGCTTTTTTCCTCACGGTAACCGATGAAGTCAACGATTACAGAAGGTAAATAATATTCAAAACTTTTTAGTTTAGACTCGAAATACTCATTAGTAAATTATTTTAACGTTGCAGTCCTTTTCAAAGCAGATACTTAAGAAGAAGCAGCGCCATCGAAATCAAAGATCAACCGCAATCGAACGATGGAAGTCAATCGAATTCTCAATTGCAAATAAATAATTCAGTTTCGATCGATTCTTCCGGTCCTTGCCAGGTGGAAGTTTGTCTCTCGAGCCGTGGAAATTCCGTCGAAGAACCGCAAGTGATTGTAAAAGAACATCCCGCGTCGGATGAGACCAACGCAAACGAGGTTTTCGAATCGGACGATGTTACACGTGCGAAATATTTAAATGATAAATGTGACAATAAAGGATCGGTCGAAACGAGCGATGAAACAAAACAATCATCACATTTTCAATCGGGTGAAACAGATTCTAAAAATGGTGGAAGGCAGCAGCAGCAGCAACAACAACAACAACAACAGCAACAGCAACTCGTTCAGGAACCTCAGGAATATCAAATAAAAAAAATTCACCTTCATCGAAACAATTCCGAAACGGAGGGATCAACGTCAACCAAGGGCACAACTCAACAGAGTTCAGAAATTTCAAACGAAACTCATTTTCTATATAGGGAACACATAAAACCGACGACGGGTAGAAAACTTTCGAGGCAAGAAAGTCAGGGTAAAGTCGGACGTACGAACACTCTCGCGATGGATTTCGAAATGGGTCACAATTCGAAAAAAATTTCTTCCCAGCCGAGTTTACCACCGCAAAAAGAAGAAGAATCATCATCTCCGCCCGAAAACGAAGAAAGAGGAAGTCGTGACAGTCTCATGATGCCATCCGAGACGATGTGTTAACTTTAAATAAATAAAGCTCAGACAATCATTCATTATTATTATTATTATTATTATTATCATCATTATTATTACTAATATTATTAATCAATATTCTAAAAGTTTTTAAATGATTCACAAAAAGTTTTTCTTTTTTTTTTAAAAAAAAATTGAAATGGATGAAGAGAAAGAAGACGTCGAGGTGCTATATTGTCAAGAAATGGAACGCTCTCATAAATTAACATTATTATTATTATTATCATTATCATTAGTATATTTTAATTACGATATCATATATATATATTTTTTTTTTGTTACCGATTTTAAGTTTTTTTTTTTTTTAGTCGCTGGAACGACTTTATTTTTTTTTTTTTTTATTAATTTTAATTTTACAATCATCGATTCGAATTATACACAGTCACGTACGCACACGCACACACGCACACATTTTTTTATTATTATTTATTTTCAATCGATTTTGTTATTATTATTATTATTTTTTTTTAGTTTTATTCATATTTTAAATAAATGTATCAGTTGAATGTTGAAAAAGAAGAAGATGATGAAGAAGAACAAGGACAAAATTTAGTATATTTATATAGTTTTGTGTAAGGGGTAAATAATAATAATAATAATAATAATAATAATAATAATAAATAATACAAAGCAATACGTTTGAGGACCAAAATTAAAATTTAAAACGGAATTTTTGTTTGTTTGTTTGTTTGTATTTGTATTTTTGGGATTTTTTTTTTGTTTATTTTCTTTTCGGGGATTTTTAATTTGTGTCGGTAAAAAAATTGTGAATGAAAAATGAAAAATTTTTTTTTTTTTGTATGTCGTCGTAAAAACGAAAAATTATTTATATATAAATGTAGGATCGTATAATAAAATGTAACGCGTAATTATTATTATTATTATTATTATTATGTTGTGTAGATCTCTTTCTTCGCTTTTAACGTTTAATAAAATAATAATAAAATTATAAATTAATTTTTCTTTTTTTTTTTTTTTGGGAAAAATGATGATGATTAATGAGGAAAATTTTTTTTGTGTAATAAAAAAAAGACAAAGAAATTTATTTATAAAAATTTATTTATTTTTTTAGTTTTATCATCTTGAAGACCTGATTTATCAGGTTTTTCCCTCAGCATTCGTTATCTTGAGGAGTTATCAGAGGTGGAGCACATTTACTATGTTTAAGTCCAAAAGAATAAGCATGAGGATTTGGAAAACCAGCTCTTCCAGGATGATATTTTGGACCAGGACCTGCTATAGTACCGAACAAAGGTCTTCCTTTTAACCCTAGCGAATAAGCTGGAGCTTTTTGTTTATATAAATCAGTGTTGGTTGCTGGATTTGGACCGGGTGGAACAAAACTGGATAATTTTTTCCAAGGTGTACCACTGTTGTTGTTGTAAAAAAGAAAATTAATAATAATTTGAATTTTAACATAAAAGTTTATGATAATTTTTTTTTTTATTACATGGTTATTCCTCCTTGATAATAATATTGAGGATAATATTCGGCTGGACTTGGACCAAATGGATGAGCACGAGCTGGTAATTTTAATCCTAAACTATATGCCGGAGTATAAACTTTCATTTTTTCAGGTGAATAAGAAAGTGGACTCGGTCCTCCTTGTTGTTCTATAATAAAGACAAAGAAGATTAATAATTATTCAATATGGCGTTTTTTTATGTACATCTTTTATAATTTTTTTTTTTTTTTTTTCCCCTTACTGTGTCCTCTGGATTTGGATTCGATCGTCCATCCAAGGTACGGAGCTTTACCATTTCTATCAACCGAACCAACATAATAAGGTCCAGGTGTTACATGAGGACGTTTAGATGTTAATTTTAAACCTAATGAAAATGCTGGAGCTCTGTTTTTAGAATAACAATGTCCTTCGTATCCCGTAACGGTTCTAAGTGCGTAAATAGGTCCTGGATTTTTTCCTTCGCAAGATGCCATTTTTATACTTTTTAATTTTAATTGAAATTTCGGCCGAAAATTTTATTTTTATTTTTTTATTTTTTTTTTTAAATTTTTAATTTTTTGAAAATTTTTTTAAATTTTTAAATTTTTTTCTAACTGTCGTTCATTTTAAATTTTAATAATAAACATTTTTTTTTTTTTTTTTGAGAAAGAAAACAAAAAAAAAAAATGGGCGTCTTTAAAAGGCGGTGAAATAATTTATATAAAATTTAAACATATTTTATTTAAATATTTAATTTAATGTATTAAAAAAAAAGAATTTCATTAATTGATTTTTATTATTAATTATTAACTTATTTAATTTTCTTAATTTTAATTGTTTAATTTAATAAAAAAAAAAAAACGATATAAAACCCGACGGAAATTTATTTTATTTATTTATTCATTTTAAAATAAATAATTTATTTATTAATAAATAATAAAAACATTACAATGATATGAATAATCAAATAAAATAATAATAAAATTTAAAAATTTAGAGTAAATAAAAATTTGGCGGGAAAATCAAACAACAACATCAACAATTTATCGTCCGTTAAAATTAGCAAATAGGAATGAAAAGAGAAAAAAAAAAAATTCCACCGCTTTCGCGAAAAGTCAACAAATTACGTTCTACGTAATTTTATCATCAATTCCACGTGCAAAAGGTTTTTTTTTTTTTTTTTTTTTTTATTATTATTATTATTATTATTATTATTTTCAACGAAAAGTTTTAACTCGTAGTATAAAGATTGGATTTCATTTTTATTTTTTCTTAAAAAGAAAAAAATAAATAAATAAGGTAACCATTTGTTTTTATTTAATCATTTTATTAAGTTTATTTATTTATTTTATTTTATTTTATTTTATTTTTTATTTTATTCTTTAAAATTAATTTTTTATTAACATTTAAATTTGCCTTATAACATAAATTAATTATCATTATTGTAATTATTATTATTATTATTTAAAATAATTATTATTATTATTTAAGGAGGAAAAAAAATAATAAAAAAATTTTTTTTTCATTCGGTTTTCGATCGGGTGGGGCATGATAATACAAGTTGTTTTTTGTTATTTCTTGTTGTGATGATTTCTTCTCTTTCCCCCCTTCCCCCCCCTCTCTCTCTCTATTTAATTAATTAATTAATTATATTATTAATAATAATTAATTAATTAATTAAAGTGAAGTGAATATTAAAATTAAAGGTTAATATTTTTATAGTTTTGGTAGAAAAAAAAATTTATTATTATTATTATTATTATTATACGGTTTGGGATTATGTTTTACATATATACATAATTTACAATAATAATAATGATAATAGTAATTGGTGTAGTAAGGAAAGTATTGTTGTTTTTCTGCTGCTGTTGCTGCTGCGATTATGATGATAATGTTGTGTTGTGTGAGATCCACACATAATTGAATTTTTTTTTATTCAAGGGCATCATTATTTTATATCTATCTCTACTCTTCTCTTGTTTGTACATTTTAAAAATTTGAATCGTCTGCATTTTTTTATTTCAAATTCATTTACGTCCATTTTTTTTTTTTTTTTTTTTTTTGGTTATTTAAACAAAATTTCATCAATTGATAAACTTTTCAAGTGGGCATGTAAAAGTTTATCTTGGATAACAGAAAAAAACACGTGTTTACTAAACGTTTGTGCTGCCATTTAACCCGTTTAAATTTTCATTATTATTATTATCATTATTAGTAATTTTTCATACGATAGTCAAAAATAATAATAATAATAATAATAATTTTTACGTGCGTATCGTTTAGAAAAAAAAAAAAATTATACTTATTCACCGATCAATGTTGTGTGGGTTGATCGAGTTTCGAATGACTTTGAAATTATTATTATTATTATTATTATTTGCATAAAAATTTATTTATTAGTTGAAAGAGAGAGAGGGGGGAGGGAGGGGAGTAAAGAAGTAAAAGTTAATCGTTTAATTGATTCGTTATTTAATATTATTTATTTATTTGTGTCTCCTCATGTGTGTGTATTTTAATGAATGCACGTAACAGTGACCTCTATTATCAACCATTTTAATAATGAAGAAAAATCTTTCGGTTTGAAAATAAAATTATTATTATTATTATTAATAGTTTTCACACATGCTGACACTTTGCCCTAATTTCTTACGTATTTGCGTTCGTGCGTGTGCGTGCATGTGCGTGCATGTGCGTGTGATTACGTGTATACGTATGGAATCATGTAGAATGCGTGGTCACGGTGCTTATGTCACCGTTTTCATAGTTATTTAAAAGAGACGAAAGGAAATCAAAAATTAGAAAGTTGATTGGTTGGTTTAAAAAGTATCATCGATTAGTTTTTTTTTTTTTTTTTATTTCTTGTATTTTGTTTGTTTGTTGTTTGTCATAGTCGGTTGTTGTCGTTGTCTCGCGAGAATTTCGTTGGGTGGTTGTTGAAGTTGTAAGGAAAAAAAAAAAAAAAAAATTGCAAAACAAGAATCTGCGATCATTAAATAATGACGAAATGGAAACGTAAAGTGAAAAGTGAAAACTTGTTGTGTTTCTCGATTATGTTTCTTTCGTTATTATTATTATTATTATTATTATTATTATTATTATTATTATTATTATTATTATTATTATTATTATTCTCCAAGTCGTCCTTGAAACGGTTTTTTTTTTTAAAAAAATTTTTCCTCACTTCGATGATGTGTGTGTGTGTGTGTGTTTGGACTTTCATAACTTTTTGGTGTTTAATAGAAACGAGTCATTTTCTCTCTCTCTCTCTCTTGCTTGATTCCATATAAAATTCTTGTCGTTTCCCAAAAAGAAAATGTTATGGTTGTTGTAGTGGTGACGCCATGACTCTCTGGGTCAAATCTTTTTTTTTTTATCATTTGTGGGGGGAATAAATCCGATGCATACCTAAGGTCGTTGCAGAAAAAAAAAAAAAACTTGTTTCGTTTTCATGCCGTTCCCCCCGTTCTTTTTGCCCCCGAAAAAAAAAAAAAAAAAAAAAAAAAACGATTTTCTTTTTTTTTTTTCGAAAAATTTCACGACAACAACAATTGACTGTCTAAAAAAAAAAAAAAAAAACTTTGAAGGTTTCTAGAAAAGAAAAAACAAAAAAAAAAACTTTGTTATTGAATTAATAATAAACAACAAAGAAGAAGAAGTTGAAAATTTCATCACATTTATTTAAATTATTATTATTATTATTATTTTTTTTTTCTTTTTTCTCTCTCGCTTCCTTAATATTTTAATCTTTCATTTGGTGACCCCTTGGGTGTTATTATGGTATTGTATCATTGAAGACATCTTCATTGGTAATACTATCGAGAAGAAGAAGAAGAAGAAAAAAGTAAATTTCTCTTTCTTTTTTTCTTTCTTTTTTTTTTTTTAATTTTTTTTTGTGCGAATTTAAAATCGCGGGTTCTTCGTAGTCCCCATCATTTATAGGTCTTAGTATTCTTCTTCGTCGCCTTCGTTATCGTTTGTGAAAATAATAATAATAATAGTTTTTTTTTTTGGGTGTTCAAACTTGCCAGAGATTGTGTGTATTCAAATCTCTGATGAAACAATGCGTGACGGAACAAGCCGTGAAATGGCCGACACATAACAATTTAATTTGATTTGTTCTGTTTTTTTTTTTTTTTTATTTTCTAGAGAGTTTTTAGAAGCGTAAAAACATATAAATAAATAAATAAATATATTTATTATAAATAAATAATAATAATAATAATAAATAAAAAGATCAACAATGGTTTCAACGACGACTGTTAAGGAAAACGGTGTTGAAAATAATACGTGTAAGTTACCACCGGGAAAATACAGGCTGGTAGGATTTGATCTCGATTTAACGGGTCGAAGGTTGATCGATGAAATTTGTCACATCGCCGCTTACACTCCAAACAATCAATTCAGTCAATATGTGATGCCATTTAAAGATTTAAATGTCACAGCTAAAAACCGACATCTTTTGAAAGTGGTCACCGTTGGAAAGTATAGAATGCTCAAAAGTGTTAAGACTGGAAAAGTAAGTCGTTTATGGTTTTTTGTTTAATTGTTATTATTATTATTATTAGCAACATCAAATGGATAACTTTTGGGTGTGTGCGTGTGCGTATTCTATTCGTAGATATTAAAAACGAGGAGTGAAATATCGGCTCTCACGGATTTTATTCAATGGTTAGAAAATTTGAAAACCGAAGGAATCATTCTCATCACTCACGATCAAAAGAAAACCGTACCGCCTTTCTTTCTCGAAGTAATACGTAAATATAAGCTTTTCGATAGGTTTTCCGCCGTCGTGAAAGGTTTTGCCAACAGTTACGTTTTCGCGGAACAAAAATGCGCTCAAACAGTCAAATCTCATTCGCTGTACACTCTGGGCCAAGTTTTGCTTGATAAAAAGGAAAATTTGGATAGCGCAGCCGATAGAGCTCGACTATCTTATCAGGTATCGTTTACGTTTCTGTTTTCCTCGATGGAAACACAAACGAGTGTTTGAAATGAGATTTTAATTTTGTTTTTTTTTTTTTTTTTCGTTTTGACGAATAGATCGTCCAACAGTTGTGTACCGGTGAAGATGACAAAGGAAGCGGAGATGCATCTTCGTCCGAAGTCGATAGTCCTGCCATGTCGGAAGCTATTAGGCAAATCGCTAGTTCTATCGAAGACGAAGAAAAAGAATTGGCGGTACTTAAAAACCTCGTCGAAAGGCAAAACGGCCTACGTCCCATTTTCGGTGACATGTTTAGTAGTAGAATGAGATTAGAAAGGTTAGTTTTTATTTTTAATTTTAATTTTAATTAGGAAAAAAGTTGAAACCCATGTCGTGATTTTTTTAAATTTAAAAATCGACTTTAGAAATCGCGCGAACACTCTTAGAAGGTTAATAGCGGAAGCGAATCTCACTTATGAAAATTTAGAAGAAGCCTGGAAAAAAGATAAAAAGGAAAGTTTGACGGCTCTCGTAAAGGAAAGGATAACAACGGCCAAAAAACCAGAGGATTTAGATGATTTAACGGAAACTTTACTTCGTCATTTCGGATCCGATAATACCACAAAAACTCCACAGAAACGTGATAAAAAAGTATTATTATTATTATCGTTTTCCATAAAAGAAAATACGGTTGCTTTTTTTTAATTTGGTTTTTTCTTATTAAAACTTTTTTTTTAGAACGAGAAACCGGTTGGTAAAAGTCCCGAAACGGGGGAAGAGGGGGGAAAAGTAAAAGGATCCGGGGACAAAGGAAATAAAAATTCCCCCGGAGGTTTAGGGGGGGGGGGGGGGGGTTTAGGGGGGGGGGGAAAATTTTCCCCTGGAAAAGTTTCGAATTCCGAATTTTTTCCAACGAAAACGCCCGAGGGGGTTAAAACGGAGGGGGATACATCTCGCTAAAGAAAAACAAAAACAAAAAAAAAAAAAAACCCAAAAACCAAAAAAAAAAAAAAAAAAAAAAAAAAAGTTACACATCGTTACCGTTAGTGCCTTAAATGACCAAAACAACGCTTTAAAAAAAAAAGGAAATTAATTAATTAATTGTATATACGTGTGTGTCATTACGAGCAGCACTTCCCGACATGTTTTCTTTTTTTTTTTTTTTTTTTTTCTTTTCTTTTCTTTTCTTTTTCTTTTTCCTTTTTTTTTTTTTTTTTAATCTAAGTCTGTGTTTATTGCTTTTTTTTTTTTACATATTTCCCTCCCTACCTTCCTTCCTTTCTTTCTTCTTACCTTGCTTCTTTTAACCTCTACAATTGATTTATTTCTCATAACTTTTATCTAGTCTTAAAATATTAGATTAGGATAAAGTTACAATTTTTTTTTTTTTTTTTTTTGCTTTATTTACATGTACTAGTTTTTTTTTTTTTTTTGCTGGTCGCTGGTTGAATTAATTGTAGCCGGAAGAATTGATATTGATTGATTTAGAGAGAGAAGAGGAACAAAAAAAGAAAAAAAAAAGTTAATTAATAAATAATTACTTCTTGATCTATTTTTTTTTTTTTTTTTTGCTGTTGAATTACGTACTTTTGTAAATTAACTCTTGTTTCATCCCGAAATATGGATGATGATTTGTATGAATTGAAACTTCATAATTGTCAAAAAAAAAAAAAAAAATTTTTTTTTATGTAGGAGAATACATTATTCCGATTTATTTTATTTCTTTTTTTTATAATTTTTTAAATTGACAGAATCCTTTCTATTAATTTTATATTAAATAATTATTTATACTACGGTATAATTGAAGTAAAAAATGTTTTTTAAATGCGTAAATAACTTATTTAAAAGGTAATTATTAGGTGGAAGTTGTTATTTATCGCCTCTGATTCAATGTTAAAGATATCCATAATGTTATGAACGATGACGTCACGCCATTTTTAATTTCAGTCGAGATTTTCAATTCGATTAATCGATTCATTCGATAGTGTAAGCAACATGGCGGCAATTATTACAACGTTAAAATGATATTAGTTTTTTATTAATGTTATAATCATTTTATAAATATATATATTCGATTGTAAAATAATAATGGCGATGGTTTGTTTTTAATTATAACAAAATTTAATTTTATTTATGAATTCAAATAATTTATTTGTCGAATGATTGTGAGATTAAAATAAAATTTTAATTTTTTTTTTTTTAGACAACTATAAATAAAGATGTGATTTTGACTGATCAGGAACCGAAATTATTGCTTCTTGAAAAGCATAAGCAATATATTTCGTCTTACGATACAAATAAAGATGATTACGTGAGTTAATGATAATTAATTAATATTTATTTTACCTGTAGAAAAAAAAAAAAAAATTAATTATTATTTTTTGTTATGAAGGAATATGTGATGACCGAATATTTAAGAATGTCGGGTATGTATTGGGGTTTAACGGCTTTAGATTTAATGGGTACTCTACAAAATATGGATAGAGAAGAAATAATTAAATATGTTGTTAATTGTCAACATGAAAGTGGAGGCATTCGACCAAGTCCTGGCCATGATCCACATCTATTGTACACTTTAAGTGGTATACAGGTAGTTTTTGTTAATGTTGATTGATATGTTTTTTTTTTCTCGAGTGTAAGTAAAAATGAAATTTTATTTTTTTTTTAGATTCTATGTTTATTTGATGCAGTTAATAGATTAGATTTAAATAAAATAGTCGAATATATTCAAAAATTACAACAAGATGATGGTTCATTTAGCGGGGATAAATGGGGAGAAATTGATACCAGGTTTTCGTTTTGTGCTGTTGCAGCCTTATCTTTAATAGTATGTTTTTTGATCATTTTAATTAATGAATAATTTATGTAAATCAGTGTGATAATTAGTTCAAATTCAAAAAAATAATTTTTGTTTTTCTCAGGGAAAATTAGATGCGATAAATGTTAACAAAGCAGTGGAATTTGTTTTATCATGTATGAATTTTGATGGCGGTTTCGGTTCTCGTCCAGGTTCAGAGAGTCATGCAGGTCTCATTTATTGTTGCGTAGGATTTTTATCAATTACAAACAATTTACATTTGGTTAATGCTGATTTACTTGGATGGTGGTTATGCGAAAGACAGTTAAACTCAGGGGGATTAAACGGGAGGCCAGAAAAGTTACCAGATGTATGCTATTCCTGGTGGGTTTTATCATCATTGACAATTTTGGGTAGACTCCACTGGATACAAAAAGAATCCCTTGTTAAATTTGTATTAGCTTGTCAGGTATGTTCGACTTTTAGTAATTTACAATCAACTTTTTTCGGTTATTTACCTACTAATTATATTTTACAATAGGATTCTGAAAACGGAGGTTTTAGCGACAGGCCTGGAGATCTTCCAGATCCATTTCACACACTTTTCGGACTTGCTGCTCTTTCTCTATTGGGTGAAAAATCATTGAAACAAGTTAATCCAACTTATTGCATGCCTCAAAATGTTATCGATAAATTAAATTTAAAACCTCAAAAATTGACTGTAGGAGAATGAAATTTAAATATGATGTAATTTTACTTTTTATTTAAAAAAAAAAGGATGTAAAAAATGAAATTTATAAAAACTGTATTATTTATTGATAAACAGTAATCTTATTATCATAATTTTTTTTTTAAAGTAAATATATATATTTATTTATAAAAATATATTTAACAGTTACATAAATTTTTTTCATTATTTAATGGACTCTACATAAGTTTTGAAATTGTTTAAAAATCAGTATAAATTTTATAAATGAAAACAAAATTAAAGATTTTTTCATTTATTTAAAATAATTATTATTATTATTCGAATCAATTTTTGTAAAATTTAAAAAATTTATAATATACATCAAAAATTTTTTGCTAAGAAAATTTTAATCTTTAATTTTTATAAGTTTTTTTGTACGTAAATAATAAAAAAGATAAAGCATGAACGTTTAAAAAATAAATTAAAGCTTAATTATTTTTTTTTTATGTTAAGATAAATTAATATTTCAAGGTTTTAAGTAGGAAAAAACTTTACTTTTAATGTTTTTTTTAAAATTTTGTTTAAATATTAATAATTTCAAATGTAAATGAAATAAACTTAATAATAAAAAAAAAAGAAAGAAAGGGGAATAATTTAAAAACTTATACCTAAAGTATTTTTGTACAGGTAAAAAAAAAAAAAAAAAAAAAAAAAAATTATTGTCTTGTTTACAAATGGAACGAACCATTGTCAAGGACGACGACTTTCAATTTAAGTTCTTTTTTTTTTTTTTGTAGTGGGGAATAACTTCTTACGTATCACACTTTAAGTTTTTTATTATTATTATTGTTTTTTTTTTTTTTTGTGCAAAGTAAAATGGCGGTCAGTTTATCAATTAGAAAATTGTATGTGAATTCCACGAAAGGTAAAATTGAAAATTGTAAATGTAAAAAATTGTGTTTTAAAATAATATAATTATTAAATGTAAAATAAATATTTACAGGTTTTAATATTGAATTTGTTAAACAAAGCACTAGAAATGCTCATGGAAAGGGTAAAGTTGTCGAAGGTAATTCTAAATTAAGAGAAATATGTCAAAACACTCTGACGGAATTAAGAAACGAAGGTTTGTTGAAAAATGAAAGAGTTATTTTATCAAAACAAGCCACGCATATAGATGTAAGAGGACAAAGTTCTAAAATACTCAATTTTTGTGCTAATAATTATTTAGGTTTAGCGGTGAGTGAGAGTTTATTTATTTTTTTTTTTTATTTTTAAATCGTTCGAAACAAACAATGTCGGGTCCCCCGACTCATAAATAAATAAATTTACGATTATTTTTAAAAAAAATAGGATCATCCAGAAGTGATTGGAGCAGCCAAAGATGCAATTGAAAAATATGGTTCTGGAGTTGCATCTGTACGATTTATTTGTGGTACTCAACAGATTCATAAGGTTCGTCTCAACATTATTTATTTATTAAAAAAAAAAATTTTAAATATTTATTTTTTTTGAAGGAGTTGGAGTTGAAAATTTCAAAATTTCACAACAGAGAAGATACAATTTTGTATCCTAGTTGCTTTGATGCAAATGCTGGAATTTTTGAAGCTTTACTCACTCCAGAAGATGCTGTTTTATCTGATGAATTAAATCATGCTTCGATTATCGATGGTATTAGACTTTGTAAAGCGGAAAAAATTAGATATAAACATAGAGATATGACCGGTTCGTCATCATATTAACTCATTTTATTCGTTTATTATATAATTGATGTGATATATAAATATTTTTGTCGGTAATAGATTTAGAATTAAAATTAAAATCAATGAAAGAGAGCAGATTAAAAATGATCGTGACCGATGGCGTGTTTTCAATGGATGGCAACGTGGCTCCTCTTCCAAAAATTATTAAATTAGCTCAAAAATATGGTGCGATAACATTGGTAGACGAATGTCATGCCACAGGATTCTTTGGTAAAACAGGCAGGTAATTATTATTTCCTCATGAAAAAAAAAAAAAAAATGGATGAGAAAATTTATTTTTTATTTGTGGTTCAGTAGTAGTAGTAGTAGTAGGAGTAAAGACAATTTATACTTACAGAGGTACAGAAGAATATTTTAATGTGATGGGTAAAGTTGATATAATTAATTCGACGCTTGGAAAAGCACTCGGTGGTGCATCCGGAGGTTATACGACAGGACCTAGGGAAATGATAAGTCTTTTAAGACAAAAATCAAGGCCATATTTATTTTCAAATTCACTTCCTCCTGCCGTTGTTGGTGCTGCATCAAAAGTAAATATTGATGATTATGATTGCTTTTATTAATTTTTTTTTTTTTTTAACAATTTCGGTTTCTTTTTAATTAAAGGTTTTCGATCTTATTACCGGGAAAAACACAATCCAAGAAAAAATAATTGAAAATACTGAATTGTTTAGAGAAAGCATGACGAAAAATTGTTTTAGAATTGCCGGTGATAATCATCCAATATGTCCCGTAATGATCGGAGATGCTAAAATAGCAGCACAATTCGCTGAAAATTTACTCAGTGAGTTTTCTTTTGTTTTTGCAAAAATGGAAGCATGGCATAGAAAACCAACAGGAAAAGTTTATTATTATTTTAACATATAATGAATTTTTTTTCTGTTTGTCAGCGAGAGGAATCTACGTTGTCAGTTTTAATTATCCAGTTGTACCGAAAAATCAAGCGAGGATAAGAGTACAAATATCTGCATCGCATACAAAAGAAGACATCGAAAGAACGGTTGATGCATTTGTTGAAGTTGGTAAAAAACTAGGAGTTATTCCAGCGGATAAAAATAAAGCTAAAAAAATACAGCAATCATTTTAATTAAAAATGAAGTTAACTTATTTGAAATGAATATTTTTTTTTAAAGATATATGAAACAATAAGTAGTCGTTTAATATATATAAATATACACTGATACCATTTTTAACAAAGTTCTGTATACGAATAACAAGTTGTTAAAAAACTTGAATTTGTTTTCATATACTTAATAATAATATTAATAATATTATCATTATAAATAATCTTTTACTTACATTAGAGAAAAATGTTTTCATTGTATCTTAATTATGATAAAATATATTTATTTTTTTCCCAATATTATTATTATTTTTTATTATATATTATTATCGGTATATTGTAAAAGTTAAAAAAACAAAATGGCTGGATGGATTGAAAAAAAAATAATGTTTTTTTTTTTTTTTTTAAATTTTGTGAATATGTTTTATTAATTATTATGATTACATTATTATTATCATCATCATTATTAATAATATTTATTATCATCATCATAGTGATCAGAATAATTATTATTATTATGTTACAATTATTTCGGTAAAAATTTTTTTATTACAATTAAATAAGCATTTGGAAATTTTTTTTGGGTGTGATAAAATTATTTTATATTAAAATAATTTTATATACGCGACGAATTATATTATATAATAATAAAAAGAGATATGGAATAATATTTATCAAAAGTTTTTCGTTCTTAAAATGTGATAAGGAAAGGAAGAAAAAAAAGGAAAAAAAGGAAAATTTTCTTTTTTAAAAAATGTAAAATTACTTTTTTATTAAGCGCCTGCACTAGATTGATGAGGTTATTAAAAAAAATTTTTTCTCTCTCTCTCGTTTATTTACCTTAGATTTCTTTTAAATTATTATTATTATTATTTAAACACGTTTTTTTTTTTTATACATCATCATTAATAAAAATAAAATTTTTTAAATTCTAATAAATTTTGACATTGAAATAATAATAATAATAATAATAAAATTTTTACATTTTTTCTTTCTTTTTTTCTCTTTTTTTTTTAATTTTTTTTAATTAAATAATTACGTATTTATGTAATTACATTTTTTTTTTTTTTAACAACGTAATCATTAAGAATTAAAAATTTTTTTCTACTAAGTTAACGCCCCCTCCCCCTCCCCTCCCTCCCCGAGAAAAAAATGGAGAAAATTCGGTATATTTACATTATTACACGCGGTATGCATCATCATCATTTCGTTATTGTTTATTTATTTATTTATTTATAATTGCTTAAATTTAATAAAATTTTATTTACATATTATATTCTACACGCACTTGAGCTTCTTTTTGGGAGAACCAAACATTCATTCATTCATTCATTCATTCATTAATTACAATTATAATTTACACGCACCCACACATATTTTTATGTACCCTGATTTAGAAAACCGGAAAAATGCGGTTGAAAAATTATTATTATTATTATTATTATTAGTTTTTTTTCACCCGCCTCCCGCGCCCACCCGCCCCCTCCCCCATTATATTTTTTAGTATTATGTACATTATTTTATTTATTTATTTATATTTTACATAAAATTTTTTATTTTACTCTTCGTACTGATCAATGTGATGTTCACTTTTTGTTTCGTTTTTAAATTTAAATGAGCACCGATTAAAATTTATTATTATTATTATTATTATTAAACGTTTTATATAGAAAAATTATTATTATTATTAATAATAAATAAAATAAGGTATGATAACTTATCTAATAATTAATGATAAACCGGGAAATATATTTAACCATAGAATAACATCTAATATCATTGATGTTCCACTCGATGTTTTTCTTCTTTGAATGGCCGCCATTTTGTCACCTTTTATTAAAAAAAAAAACGACAGGAAAATAATTTAATTTAAAATAATAAAATTTTTAATTACAAAATAAAAATTCGAAATGATAATAATAATAATGATAGTGATAGAAACGAATGATTGATTGAAAAAAATTTGTTTGTTTTTACCTTCGGAAACGAAAACGAATATGGACGCAGGCTCAGTATTTGATGCGCTGCACGTATAATTTCCAGAATCTGTATCTACAGCATCTCGAATTGTTAAATGACTTTGAGTTTTTGGCCCTGGATTTGTTTCCACGGTGATTCCGCCTCTGGCAGTATCATAATTAATCATTCGGTCGTTATGAAACCAAAATACGTATTGCGGGGGTACAGGACTCTGGAAAATGAATGAAAAAAAAAAAGTTTTTTTTTTTAAATTAAATAATATTTCGTACTAACAACAACAGGAATAATAATCGTCCCTCTTAAACCCCCCTCCCTTACTTTTTCAATCATGCAAATCAAACTTATCGCACTTCCGGTATCGACGTGATGTTCTCCAGAACCGAGAATGAATGCTTCCGGTACGACGATGTGTAAATTAACAAAATGTGACATTATACCGCTACCTGTTGATACCTGAAAATTTTTTCATTTTTTTAATTAATTAATTTTACTTATCGTGCAGGTTTAAGGGAAGGCCCCATTTTTTTCTCTCCTCTCGCCTCCCTCCCCTCTTCCTCCCCCTCCCACTCAAACGAGTTTAAATTTATAAATCACGTCAATTATTTATTTACAAAAAAAGGGGAGAGAGAAAATCATGTCGACCAAATAAAAAAAAATTTTTTTTTTTTTTTTTGGTCATCGGCAATGGTCGACGGATTCACAAACCCGAGATTTCATAAATATTAACGTAGATTAACAGAGCGGAAAGAGTTATGAAAAAATAATAATAATAATAAAAAAGTACAAAAATTTTTATTTTTATTGGCATAAACAAAAAAAAAAAAACCCGAGCGTTGTAGAATTAATAATAAAATATATTTTAATATCGATATAATAAACGATGAATAATAATAATAATAACCCAATGTTACCGATATAAAATTTAAAAACACCATTTCACTCCTCCTCCTCCTCATCTGACTATTTAAACGTATTTTCCAATCGATTCCCCTCCCCTCACCCTCCCTCCTTCAATTTTCTCTCAAACTTTTTTTTTATATTTTTTTTTTTTTCCACGTGCGGGTTTGTTAATACATAAATAAATTTGATGACTTTAAGCTTTCGTTTTTATTATTATTTATTTATTTATTTTTATAAAACGGATAAGTTTAACGGATGGGAGGGGAGAGGGAAGAAAGGGAGGGAGAGTAAGGTAAGGTAAAAATTTATTTCATAAAAGAAGAAGGAGGAGGAGGAGGAAAAGAAAGGAAAAAAAAATAAAAAATAATAAAAATGAAAGATTGAAAAAAAGGAGAAAAAAAAAAGGAAAAAAGGTATCTCTTTCCTTTTTTTTCTGGTAACACCTGTGAAAAATTTTTTTTTTTGTGTCATTTTTATTAAAAACTTATCCATCGATTTTTTATATAATAAAAAAAAAATATTTAATTAATTTTTTTATTAATTACAAATTTATTAAGTTAATTTTCTAAATGAAAAACCTAAAGGAAAAATGTGAATGGACGTTGTTGACAAAATTTAAAAATTACAACTTGAATAAAAAAAATTAGGTAATAAAATTTGATAACAACAAAGGTTAACAAACATAAACATAAACATAATCATAAAAGAGTAGGGAGAAAAAAAAAAAAAAAACATAATTTTATTCCTTCTTTTTTTTTTTTTTTGTAATTTTCCTCTGTGATTCAATCGTGTTGGTAAAGAGAGAGAGAAAAAAAAATGAAAAACGTAAAAATTTCGTTACTGATGTTTTTTTTTTTGCTGCTGCTGCTGCTTCTGTTCCTGCTCTTGCTGCTGCTTTTGATTACGAGAAAGAGGGAGAAAGAAAAAGAAAGAGAGAGAGAGAAAAAGTGTGATGTTGTAACGGGCCAAAACGACGGTCTAAACTTTGAGACGTCCAACCGTCTGGGACATGATTTTAACTCTTGTTGTTGTTGTTGTTATAAAAAAAATTTTTCTGATAGGTTTTATATAAGGGTTTTAGGTTTCATCAATTAAAATATATTAAATTTTCCTTTTTCCATAAGAAAAAATTTTCTTTTTTTTATTTCGGGGAGCCGGGGGCCGGGGGAGGTCAATATTCTACATCACGTTTTTAAGTAATACTTTTCATCACTCAACCGATCAAAAAAAAAAAAAAATTTCGTTTACCTGACATTCATAGGTTCCATTATCTCTTTTTTGTACGTATTTTATTTGTAACGTCCAATCGTCTGAACCTTCACCGTGAAGTACCGGAATCTTTCATCGTTTGTATATGTGAACATACCGGAAGTTAATATATGCCATCTCTTTTTTCTAACCCCCGAAATCTAAAGAAAAAACAGAAAAAAAAAATCGTTATGAAAAATATATATATATATATATATATATATATATATATATATATAATTATTTTAAATTCGTTTGAAAAATAAACAGAAGCCGACGACCGAAAATAGAAAAAAAAAAAAAAATTTTTGATTTGGTTATTTAATTTCCTTTTTTAACTTTTAATGGCTTCATTATCAAGATCTTTTTTTTTTTTTTTTCATCCCCCATTTTAGGGAGAACTCGAGATTTTTCTTTTTTAACTACATTTTTTTTTTTTTTTTAAATTGTATCTATTTCTCTCTCTCTCTCTCTCTCTCTCTCTCTCTCTCTCTCTCATCCTGATTAAAAAAGAAAAAAAAAAAATCTATTCTTTAAATTTTAATTGAGTTTTTTTTTTTCCCTCTCTCTCTCTTTCTCTCTCTCTGTTGATGTTGTTTTGTCGTCATCACTAGTTGGGCGGGGAAAGGGGGGTGTAGAAACGAGCAGGAGCAGAACGAGGAAATGAAAGGAGAAAAAAAACGAAAAGAAAATCTTAAGGATTTATTTAATCTCGGGCGCCTGAGGGGTTTCACTCTCTCTCTCTCTCTCACTTAAGATTTATTAATGAAACATTTTTAAGTAATTGCTCCTGTATTTCATTATAATTATTTTTTTTTTTTTTTGAAAATTTATGTTTGATTGTAATAATTTTTATTATAACGGAAAATTTTTTTCTTTTTTTATTTGTATTGGATTGTTTGTAGGTATGCAAGCAAGCACGTACGAGCGTGATAAGAAAAAATGATTGATTGATGACGAATGACGACGTGCTATCAAACGAAAAAAAAAAAAAAAGTTTAAACTAAAATAAATAGTGAAAATGATAATGATTGATTGATTGATTGACTGATTGAATGAAAAGCAATACTAACTTCAGCACTCACCGTCCTTTCCCCCAAATTTCTAACTCTGCAATGAAGAAAAGCTGTTCCCCCCAATTGTACGGTTATATTACTCATTGTGTTGTTATCAAAACTTGGTTCTGTTAATCTTTGAAATTCTTCAAAATCCGAATACCACAATTGACGCCATGGACCACCGAATTGTTGCGTTTGTGCTAAAATGAAACAAAAAAATGAATTGAAAAGTTTTATTACAAAATAAAAAATTTATTAATATATATATATATATAATGATTGTTTGTTTGTTTGTTTGTTTACTTTTTTCTTTTACAACAGATACACGTTACGCACGCATCCAAAAAAATTTATTTCATTTTATTTTATTAATTAAAATATTTAAATTTGAAAAAAGTAAAAAAAAAACTTTATACTTTAAAAATTAAATAAATTAAAACATCTTTACATATAATAATAATAATAATTAAAAAGTTGTATTGTATTATATATATATAACAACAAGTAAACTTTAAATTTTGTTTTTTATATAAAATTTTATTTTCAAAAAAAAAAAAAAATCCGTTTTTTTTTTTTTTTTTACCAATTCAAAATTCAGATAATATATCTTATAAGAAAAAGAATTTTCTCGGCATTTTTCTTCTTTTTCTTTTCCTTTTTTTTTTATTTAATTTTTATTAAAAAAAAAAAAATGAAAGAAAGAAAAGAGAGAGAGAGAGAGAAAGAGAGAGAGAGAGGGATAGAAAAAAAAAAGGTTTTTCAAATTTTTCTTTTCTTTTTTCTCTTTCTCTCTATTTTTTTCCCTCTCTCTTTTTTTTTACTTTTCATTTATTACCAAAGGTTTAGAGTTTTTGAAAAGAATGAAATGAAAAGCTTACACACACGCACGCACACACACGCATACAGAAAAAAAAAAGAAAAACAAAAAGAGAGAAAACTTTTTATACATCGAATAATAAAATAAAAAGGGAAAAAAATTTACTAAAATCAACCTTGTTGTTGTTTGTTGTTGATGATGATGGAAACTATAATTTGTATTAATCAAAAATCGAAACTTTATCATCAGAAACTTTATCCTGATTTTTTTGGTTTTCTAAACCCCCCCCCTTTTTTTTCGGTTGTTTCAACCTCGACGTGAAATACAATAAAATTGTGTATACATTTAAAAAAAATGTCAACTTTTTTTTTTTTTTTTTTT